ACTCACGCGCCGCCGGGCCCCCTTTGCCCGGCTGGCCGGGTGCCCCCCCTCGCCCTGGCTTCCAGACACTGCCCCTCAGGGACGCAGGCCAGCTGCCTCAGCTGGAACAGCTTGGCATCATCACTCTGCTGCTGCTGGTGGCCGCCAGTGGCCAGCCGCCAGGCCCAGCCCACACTGAGCAACTGCATCACACCACAAGCACGCTGCGGAGCAGACTCGTTTCTCCGTTTGCAGGATGAGGACGCTGCGGCCTCCTTGTGGGCCGCGTGGGGTGACCTGGTCAACCATGTGGTCACCACCAAAGGAAAGGGCTGTGCCTTGTGCTCTTCTAGTGGTGGGGCACGCGTGATTATCCAGAACGCTTTCATCTTTTCCTTTATGTTCTTTTTCCTCTGGTTCTTTTTTAAAACATCATGTTTTGGGGCCCCCTGGTGGTGCAGCAGGTTGAAGCGCAGCACTATGAAGCTGGTCACAGCGGCTGCAGCGTGAGTTCCAGCCCGGCCAGGGAGTGACCACATGGCGTGGCAGACCCCTCCTGTCTCCCCGCTGCTCCCCTCAGCAGTATACTTCGTCATTCTGCCTGTTCTGTTCCCCACACCTCTGGCCTGCACCCCAGTTCTTGTGTGCATAAATAAACCTTTAAAAAATAAAAATAAAAGTCTTTTTTTTTTTAAGATTTATTTATTTGTGCATACAAAACTGGGTACAGGCCAGAGGTGGTGCAGGGGCGATGAGAGGATCCGCCAGAGACAGATCGGGGAGCAGAACAGGCCAACTGACGAAGTCCACTGCTGAGGGGAGCAGCGGGCGGGCCAGGAGAGGTCTGCTGCACCCTGTGGGTCACCTCCGGGGCGGGTGGGGATCAAACTCGTGCTGAAGTGGCTTAAGCTTCTCAGTGCTGTGCTTTAGCCCGCTGCGCCACCAGGGAGGGCCCAGAACATCATGTTTTAATTTATAAAGTAGTACTTTGTGAGAAGTGAAAGTTGCGTACATTTTTAAAGAGTAAGTCCTGGTCTTCTGCCCTCCGTCCATCTCTCTGAGTAACCAGCCCCCTCACCCCTCTCTGCTTCCTCATCACTTACGCCAGCTTTTGGACACAGGTAGAGTTTTCGTTTTGCTGTACAGGAAAGCATGATGCTATCATGTCCAATATCCTGCAGCTTGCTTTTTTTCACTCGCTGTGTGGTGCGGAGTCCTGCGGGTGAACAGATGAGAGATGTCGCTCATGCTTTCATTACCTGCCTGACAGTCAGACAAGCCTGTGTACTCATCTCCTCCTACTGATGGACACTTAGATTGTTGCCAGGTTGTTGTGTCGCATGGACTACCAGCGTTATCACTGGTAGAAGGGGATGTTCCTGAGAAATGTTAGCAAATATGACGAATTGGCCATCCCCAAAGCTTGTTGAGATGTTCATCTCTCACAAGTAGCAAATGAGCGTTCTCTTCCCCCCAAGTCCCCACCGGCCATGATTCTTGCTTCTCCTCTTCCCTGTGCTGCTTGTCCAGTCGGCCGGTTGACGGGTTGGCCAGGCTGATGGCTGAACAGTGGTGTCTCACAGAAGGCCGAGGTGTGGCTCAGTTTGAGTCTCCTAGTGAGGCCGAGCATCTTCCCATGACTTTCTTCGTGAGTAGCTAGTTTGCTTGTCCTTTTGAGAGCTGGGCTATTTGACGTTTCCTTTATCGACATGTCCGTCGTTGGAATGGCTCGTATGCTTTCCCCAGACTTCGGTTAATCTAGAGCGGTGTTTCTCAGCCTCTGTGCTCCTGGCGTTTGGGACCAGATAACAAGGGCCTGCCTTGTGCATTATTCTGTGCTCGGGTCTCCCTGGCCCTTCCCCATTCACAGCCAAAGGTGTCTATAAACGTCGCAAAATGACCCTGGCAAGTTGGGGCGAAACGCCACACTGGTTGACAAACACTGGCCGGGACTCTGCTGCTGGTGTTGTTTTGCTGTTTGAATTTTTCTTCGCCTTGAAATCAATTAGTGCTCTTCTCCATTAGGGTATATTGATTTCCACGCTTAGGAAAGTTTCCCTCTGCTCCAAGGTTGTACAAATATTATTCCAAATTTTCTTTCGGTGTTTTATAATTTCTTTAATATTTGAATCTCAAGAACACCTGGAGTTTACTTTTCTGCAGGCTGTGACAGAGGCGTCGGCTTTGTTTTTTTCCATTTTCGACACAAACCGCTGTTGTTCTCACAGACCAAACTGCCACCTCTGCCCAGAAGCTCTTCCTGACTGTTCTCGGTCTGCCGAGTGCCCACAGGGAGCAGCTGGCCAAGCTTCTTCCTCCTGGCTCTTGCATCGTGGGGGAGGGGAGGATGAATACTTTTTTTTTTTTTTTCCATTTCCATTTCTGTCTGTCTCAGCCAGAGATCTTTGAGAAAGTGCTGAATGCGTCTTCTCCCTTAACAACCTGGCTGGTTGTACTGTTCCAGAAAGAGAGCAGAGGGAAAGAGGTAGAGACAGGGCCGAAGTCACCTTCCTCCCCGATCTCTGCTTCCCGTGTGGCTCTTTCTGTAATGGAAGGGGAGGATAATTTTATTCATCTTAGAACATTTTTTTATTTTCATTTGTTTAATTTTTAAAAAGATTAAAAAATTTTATTTATGCTTACAGAACTGGGGTACAGGCCAGAGGTGCAGGGCGGGGTAAGAGGATTCACCAGAGACAGAGCAGGGAGCAGAACAGGCTGATCGATGAGGCACACTGCCGAGGGGAGCAACAGGGAGACAGGAGAGATCGGCCCCGCTCTGCGGGTCACGCCCTGGCCAGGGATGGAACTCGGGCTGCTGTAGCTGCCAGAGCTTCACAGTGCTGTGCTTTAACCTCTTGCCCCACCGGGGAGGGCCCTTAGAACATCTTCTAAATTCCTTTCGAAAAGCTCAAGAGCACCTTGACTACATACCACTGATACTTCCTTAGGACAGGTGAGCGTTACACATAGTAGGCCCTTGATGGTGATGGCTGAAATGAGGTGAACCGAATGTGCCTGGCTTGGGGACTGCTTCTTTGGTTTAAGGTTCTGGGATATGACCTGGAGGGGTTATGAGTTCACTCTTCCTACAGAAACACATTTCTGCCCGCTAGCTCCCCCTTCCGGGCCCTCAGAGTCAAGGCAACCCCAGAATTGTCCTCCGTGCAGGAGGGCGGGGCAGAAGGGTGTCAGACCTGTGACCCCAGTAGCTAGGACCTGGCTGAAGTGGGGGATGCCATGGCGACGGCAGCGTGCTGGCTGGGGAGAAGGCACACGCTCAGATTGGCTCTTCCTAGTTGACCATGCACCAGAGATCCGGTGCTGGTTAACTATTTGTGGGGGAAAGAAAGCAAATTACTGTCGCCACGCTGAAGAGAGAGGAGGGAAATGGGCTTGGGATTCTCTGTAGAAGAGATTTACCCATAAGTGAAGGTCATTTGTTTGCGGGACCTGTGTTTTTTGAACAATTTGGTTTCCTGTATTCCATTGTTTTTTTGCTTGTTTGTTTTTTTCTTTTTCCTTTTTTCTTTCTCTTTTTGTCAGGCCATTCTGACAAACAGTCGTGGAACAATAGATGATTTTTTCCTTGCTGGCCGAAATCTTGCCTGGTGGACGGTGAGTGAGCCTTGCGAAATGCAATCCACTTGGGGCATTGAGTGTTAATTTGCTTATTTATTTTATTTAGGCATCATATGCCTGAAGTATTTTGAAACTGCTAAATCAGGACTCCCATTTGATAAGTAGTTCCCTTAGCTCTTATGTAGTTTCTTAAAAGAAATTGAACATTTGTGTTCAGTGTCCTTAATCTCAGTAATATTTAGTTATGCATAAGATATCATGCTGGGGTCCAAAACATGAATAGGAAATCAACAGCCCTGCCCCCTGGATGCACACATTCTAGAACAGGAGTTCGGGTGTGTGTCCAGTGTGCTAATACAGAAAACACAGAAGAGAAAGTCTGACCGGTGGGATTGAGCAGGGTATGAAGATGGCGCAGGTATTTGCTGGGCAGACTATAAGGTACCCCAGAGGTACAGCATATACCTGCATGATGGGATATCATGATGCTGTTACAGGGAGAGAAACACCCCTGAAACCCCAAATCTGCCCACTCTAAGTAGGTTCTGCCACCCGCCACATCAAGACAAAACATATAAGACCTTCCATGGAAAGAAACTTGAATACAATGAGTGTGCAGTACAGAAAAGACAAAGAATAGAGTTTCTAAACCAAACCCCCAAAGTTGCCTGTCCCCTCATGGTAAAAGTCCACCCAGAAGGGGTTGGCCCAGAGCAAGGCCTGAAAGTCTGCCACAAGTCTGGCGAAGACCCACTGAAAAAGGTCAGAAACGGCCAAACAAGTCTGGGAGGAAGAGAGCAACATCAAAACCAAGATAAATGCTGCCATAGTCACCTCCCACAGGTCTCCCCCACGTCTGTGTCCCCCCGTGCAGGGCCAAGAAACAAGAGCCTCTTCTCCACGGCTCTGCTCCCTGGGCCCCCCAGGTCTCCTTCAGGCACCATCCTGCTTCCTTCTCCTCAGTCTCTCTCCAGAGTCTTCTCTTTCCTGCTCAGCTCCACCCTGCTGTGGGTGGGACAGAAACCTGGAACCTCCCCTTTTCCTGGGGACCCCCCCCCTTACAGTGCTGGGTAATATCCCATTGGGTATATGTTCCATATTTTCCTACCCCAGTCCTGTCTCTGGGCACTCAGGTTGTTTCCATAGCTCAGCTGTTGTGAAGGGGTCTCAGCAGAGTCTCCGTGAACACAGGAGAACATCTACCCTCCAGATTAGCGCTGCTGTTTTTTATTCTTTGGGTAGATATCCCCAGGTAGAACTGCTGGGTCCGTTTTTAGGATCTCGCGGGGCCTCCCATCGGGACTGACCCAGTCCGCTCTCCCACCAGAAGCCCACCAGAGTCCTGTGTCTCCACATCCTCAACAACACTTATTTCGGGCCCCTTTGGGGCACCATGCTCACAGGTGGGAAATGGTGTCTCACTGTGCATTTCCCTGAGGATGTCTGTCGGCTGTGTCTCGGAGAAGCTCTTCTGCCCTTTTTCCGATTGGGTCATTGGCTTTGTTTTTGTTGAGCCGTATGAGCTCTTCGGAGATCGTGGGTACCAGCCCCTTGTCAGATGGGGTATGCAAATATTTCCTCCCATTCCGTTGCTAGAGCAACTATGCAAGGAACAGCTAGCAAGGGCTCACATGGGGAAAGGATAAAAGTGTCCATGTCTGCAGATGACCTACACTAAAAATCCACTGTTGTTCTCTTTTGACTGTCAGATAGGTGCATCTTTTTTTGCCTCACATTTCAGTACTGTCCGCATCATGAGCCTGTCTGGAATCGGCGCTTCTTCGGGCTTTGCCGTGGGGGCCGTGGAGTGGAATGTAAGTCAGAGCTTCCGCAGCGCCGACCCGGGCCCTTGTCCAAATCCACCGGAGAAGCCTAGAAACTTGCTTCCCTGCTCGAGCAGATAGTAAAGTCTCAAAGCAACTAAGCACGGAGCCAAGTCTGACGTATCTCGGCAGCGTTTGTCTCCATCTTGTTAATCAATTAAGTCAGAGACTGGGGCTCCCCTCGGCGCTCACAGGGGCGATGACTCGGGGAGGCAGAGGGCCATCCAGCACGTGCATGTGCGCACGCGTGTGCTTGGAGACGGCAGCAGGTCGTAGGTGCGTAGAGGCAGAGCTACGGGTACATGTGTGCATGACAGGTGTACATGAGTGTGCTCCTACATGTCTGTATCTGTCGTGTAAGCACATCCACATTGAAATGGACGCAGCCGACTGCTTTGAGACCCTCGGCTAACTCATACACAACTCCTAATCAGTCTCCCAGGAATTCCACGTTTCAAATGTATTCAAACTTAATAAATGGAATATTTAGTCAATCTATGGAGTAAATTTGTTAAAGGATACAGAATTTGTTCTTCCAAATGTATAAGTCTTGGGTTAATTCGCCTACTTTTAATAGAAATTATCTTACCTTTGTTTATAAATCAGAAATCCTCCCTTTCTCATTCTCATTTTTCTTCTCGTGGACTATAAAAATAAAGATTTCTTCCAGCAGTGTCAACTCCAAAACTACCAACAAGCCCTGGCTTCCGCCACAGTTCACCTCTCCTAGTTTCTGAGTGCCTCCTTCATATGTTTGACTAACCTTACCCCTTCATTATAGGGAAGCCAGAGTCAAACTTATCATTTCACCGCAATAATGGAAACTTTTGTGTAGTTTCTCTCCCTTTTCTCTGAGTGATTTCTAATTTTTGCTCTTTGTTGTTGTTGTTGTTCAATATCTTTTATATTTAACTACAAGCCACCTTCATTCCCTTCTGGAATTAGGCAAACAAATTAAAAATACATACTTTGAAATCTGATGCTTTTGAGTGCACCTTTTCATAATCTTTTTTTTTTTAAGATTTTTTTATTTATGCACACAAGAACTGGGGTGCGGGCCAGAGGTGCGGGGTGGGGTGAGAGGATTCATCAGAGACAGAGTGGGGAGCAGAATAGGCAGATGGATGAAGCACACTGCTTAGGGGAGCAGCGGGGAGACAGGAGAGGTCTGCTGCACCATGTGGGTCACCCCTGGCTGGGGACTGAACTCAGGCTATAGTGGCTGCAGACATTGACACAGTGCTGTGCTTTCACCCCGGCACCATCAGGGAGGGCCCTTGAGTGCACCTTTTTATAGGTAAAGATCAAGTACTTGTAAGTTAAGTTGGTTGTTCTGTAAGGTGTATACACATGGACTGTTACTTGTAAGTTTTGCAATAGTAAACGCTTTTCAGGCTCAAAATAGATAGTTACTGAGCTGGTATCTCACTTAAGAGATTGGCTTAAATGGGACCCTTATCTAACAGTTATTTTTCTTGGTTTCAGACTTCACTTATGGTCTGTATTCTTGGTTGGGTATTTTCTCCTATTTACATGAAGGCTGGGGTGAGTATCCATTATCAGTTATTCTATTCTTAGCATATTTCTTCTTAAAAGTATTGCATATGTACTGAAAATATCCTGGAGGGGAAGCTAAACCTCTCGGTCTTGTGATCTTCATACTGTCTGCCCTAAATCCTGTAACATGTCAAAGGTAACATCATACTGCCTCCTATAAACAGACTCCAGTAACTATCTCCTGTTTCTCTCTGGACCTTAACCAAGAGTTCCCCTCTTCACTTTTCCTAGAGACATTTTAAAACGTGCTTAAAAATAGGCTCTAAATAAATGAGGAGAACAATGAGGTTTAATGATTACAAGACTATCTCCTTCCCAAACTCATCTGTGCACGGAATGCAATTCCAAACAAAATTCAAATGGGACTTTTGGGGAATCTGACAAGCTCATTCTGAGAAGTCTGTGGGAGGTTAGGGAAAACAGACCTGGCCAGGCCTGGCTTAGTGAGGAGGGCAAAGAGGGGCGCCCGGGGCCCCTCCCAAGGGCACCGGTGGCGTGAAACCGGTCACAGCCAGTGAAAGTTTTCTGTCACCTTCCACACAAACAGTGCAGTTCAGATAATCACCCACAGATGGTTTTTGAGCAAGTCTGCAAGTGCAAGGGGGTTGGCGCTGACTACAAGCCCCCAAAATCAGGCTAAGTCACACTGAAAAGAGCAAAAAGAGGTTTCCCTGACTGCATCTCCTAAGGGAGGGCAGTGTCAAGGGAGGCCTCTGCAGCCTGAGGGTCCCCCCGGGACCCAAGTGTCGCCTCCCGTCGAGACTGCTGAGGGTCCTGTGCCACTGAGGAATGGGGAGTTGCTAAGATAACAGCAGCTGGGGGTGCCAAAAGCATGGGAGTCTCTGGGCTGCCTTTCAGACTCTACCCAGAATCCTTCCAGCAAACGCTGGGACACCTCACCGCAGAGCCTGTCCTCACCCCAACTGACGCGTGGGCGCCTAAACACTCCGCACACCTCAGCCGCTCGTGGCCATTTGTTGCGTGCACACTGCCATGGCGGGGGCAGGGCGAGCCTGCACACAGAACATTAACTGGCCCCGTGGCTTTGCAAGAAAACGCACAAACATGAACATTCAGCGCCACCCTAGGGAAGGTGGCGAGTAGAACACTGGGAGCGCGTGACCTGACACTGCAGGACGGAAGGGAGGCGTTGTGAGCTCAGGGCTCACCTGCAGAAGGGCAAGCCGCGTGGAGAGGGAGGCCTGTCTACAGAAAGGCTGGGAAGGCCTCAGATCCCTACCAGGCCGGGCCGCCCGAGGGGTTTCTTTCTTGATGCCAGTCGGTAAAAAAACGGAGGAAATGACTGCTTCCTCAGATGGAAAGACAGCAGTGAAAGACCGAAGGACCAAGAAGAATCAAGGAAATGTGATACTGCCAAAGCAACACCATCAACACAATGATTTTCCGATAACTGACCCCAAATAAATGGAGATACGCGATCTGCATGACAAGGAATTAGAAATATTTGTTGGCACTGGTGAGAATGGCCGTGACCATGCTGGAGAGGATGTGGAGGAAAAGGAGCCCTCTTCCGCTGCCGGGAAGAGTGCCAAATGGCCCAGTCACTATGGGAAGCTGTGTGGAGGACACTCAGATTACTAAAATATGAGTCTACCATCTGATCTAGCGATTCCACTCCCAGGAATTTGCCCAAAAGACACAAAAACATTAATCTGAAAGGAGTCCTGCACCCCATGCCTTCTGCAGCACTATTTATAATAACTAAGAGATGGAAACAACCTAAATGCCCAAAAACATGATGGATCAAGAAGATGTGATATATACACACAACGGAATACTACTCAGCCACCAAAAGATAAAACTCATGCCCTTCGCAGGAACATGGATGGAGCTGGAAGGGCTCAGCGAGATACATCAGAAAGAAAAGGATTGGATGGTTTCACTTATATGAGTGCCAGGGAACTGAACAAAATGTCAAAGGAGAAAAAAAGACAAAACCTGCAGACAAAACATAGATCCGAGGCAAGGGGGCAGGGAGAGGGTCAAAGCAGGGGAGGGAAGAGCAGAGGGGCTGGGGTGGCTGTTCACGGGTGATGTGGTGATGGGAGATTTATGGGGACTGCACCTGAGGAGACAAACCAAATACTGCACAAAAAATGAACAGCGGTGTAAGAGAATAAAATACTTCATAAAAATAAATAAATAAAATTGTTGTTTTAAGGAAATTCAGAAAGCTACGGGAAAATCACACAGAAAACATGGAAAAGCACACATGAAGAGACAGGAAGCTTAGTAGAGGTTGAGATCATAAAAATCATAACTACATTCTCGAGCTGGGGAAAACAATGACTAAGTTAAAAAGTACAGTAGAGCACATCTGTCGTGCACTGGATCAAATAAAAGAAAGCATCTGTGAGAAGGCAGGTTATATGAAAAAGAGTGGAGAGAGCCTATCGGAGTTAGAGGAAGAACATTACGAGAAGCAGTGTGGGTCTGTTGGAGTCCTAGTAAGGGAGGCTAGAAAAGGAAGAAAGAGGAAGAAAGCTTATTTAAAGAAATAATGACCAAGAACTTCCCAAATCTGGGTAGAGATTCAGAGATCCAAGATCATGAAGTTCATATATCCCCTTCCCACCTCCAGGAAACACTGTAGGGAAACTGTCTGAAATCAGAGACAAAGAGCACAAATTTTAAACAGCAAGAGAGAGAAAAAATTCCACCTGCAAAGGCATGCCCACTGAATTTCTCAGCAAGAGCCTCGAACGCCAGGAAAGCTGACATCTCTCACTGAAAGCACAAAAGGAAAGAAAAATGGAGACCCAACTTCTCAGAACCTGCTGGAAAGAAGACAAGCTAAGCTTAGAGGGAAAAAATATATAGCAATCCAGGTGAGGAAACAGGAAAGAAGTCAAACAAGTTTACCCCTCACTTCAGGATGTTAGAAAACGAACACAGAGACCAAACGCCAGGAGAATGGAGGGAGCACTCGAATGAACTAGATTGTCCAAGATTAAAAAATAAAAAAGATGGTCCAAGGCTTCGATGGAACACTGCGATGGTTCTCTGAAATAATAGACAAGCCCCCAGCCAGAGTCACTGCTTTGGTTTTTATGCGTCTTAAGCCTGATTTACCTCCGCATCCAAGAGCAGTGAGGACTGGCACTGGAAAGCGCAGTGACAGTGGAAGAGGAACGTGTCCAGAAAGGCCGAGACGTGGACCTTGACTTACGGCGTGGTGCCGACCGCAGCTCGGGTCACTGAGGAAAGAGGGCCGGCTGATGCTCACAGGCAGAAACAAAATGGGATCCCTGTCCCATAGGAAAATGATCTTAGGTTGAGGAAAAACTCAAGAGTGAAAAAGCAGTGCACAGCAACTGCCTCTGAACAGCCCCAGATGGCTCCACACTCTGCTCTTCCCGTCTGCTGTTATTGTCCTGAGCGGGGCTGCCTCTCGGGCACTTCGGCTGATGGTGACCTGTCTGGTTGCTTTCACAGGTGACGACCATGCCAGAATATCTGAGCCTGAGGTTTGGCAGCCGCCGGATACAGTCCCTCCTCGCTGTTCTCTTCTTGTACTTCTGTATCTTCCATAATATCTTGGTGAGTGGTGTTAAAACCAGCCTACAGAAAACAAAATCAGTAGGACAACGCTAGGTTTGTCCCAGAACTTCACCCAATGCGTTGGTCTCCAGCGGGAATAAAAATAGCTCAAGCACACTTCACGAAAAAGAACAGGCAGAGGCGTCCTCTCCAGCTCCTAGTTCCCAGAGAACAGTGGCCTGACCCGCGTCACATATTAAGTAATGTTTAAAAGCGATCCCGGAGTTCCCGTCACCCTCATGAGGCCAGCTAACCGCTTGTCACCTGAAAGGACGGTCCCCTTGTCTCTGTCTCACCCTGTACTGACCGTGCTCTGGCTTCGCTGCCTCCTTACTGCCTCTGGAATCCGGCAAGCCTCTTCCAGCTGAAGGCCTGACACTTGCTCTATTCTGGGTCTAGTATATTCTTCCCCAGGACTGTTCATGCATCACCACCTTGGAGACACCTTCCAGGGTATGTCCGTTCACGACTGTTAGGCTCTGTTACCATTTTTTCATGTAGTTCTTGTCACCACTGAGAGTTTGTGTGTGTTTCCGGCTTTTTATCTCTCTTCTCCACCCAATGCAAGCGTCTTGAGACCGAGGGCCTCACCTGGCTTGCTCAGTACATGACTCCCTTGCTAAAAGCTTATTTAGCCCAGAAGACACCAGATAAATGTTTTTTGAATGCCATATATCTCACTGGATGGAAATTCCTAGCTAATGGTCTATCTCCTTTATTGAATGTGAGTTATTTGAAGACAGTGACTTAGTTTTGTGTCTTCTGAACCCGACCAAGTATCTACTACATGGTTGGTGCTGGGAACGCATGTGGTAGATAGAAGATAGATGAATTCTGGGGTAATCGCTGTATATAAGTCAATTAACTTAGGTGCGTGTGCTTAAAGCGTGTGTCTGTACCTCAAAATCACTGGCAAGTAAGCCAAATATTCTGACCCACAACCCCCTCTCTTGTTCTCACTGCAGGTGGAGCTGTTCATTGGGACCATGGCCATAAAGCTCGTTGCGGGGGTGGACGTCAGCCTGACCGCCATAATCCTGCTGACAGTCACCGGCATTCATGCCTTCACAGGTGAGGCACTGACCGGACAGGCACTGGTGTTGACAGGACAGAGTCCTGGTAGACATTGAGGCAGGACTCTGCAACTGTTTCATTTTCCCTGATCTGTAGATCACATTGCTGGGGGCTGAGGAGCAGGACGATGAAAATAACAGGCATGACGCCTAATGGGTGTCCTGCCCCTGACTTCAGGTCAGGCTGGCAGGGACTTCCCAAAGGAGCCAGCAGGAACGGCCAGTAAGTCATGTGGGCAAGAGCAGGTCAGGCTGAGCAGAAAGAATAGAAACACAGGAAGGGGGTGGGGGGACCTGGAGCGGGGGTAGCAGCTTCAGGGCGCCTAGTCAGGCCTGTGTTGGGATGTTTTATATTTTTTGGTAAGTTTATTGAGTTGTGGTAATATTCGAATACCCTCAGGGTATACCCTCAGCCTCTGCCGTGCGCCCACCAGCAAATCACCCAGAGTCCACTACCTTAGTCCTCATGCTCCCTCCCTCTTCGGTCTTAGCCTCCCCTCACCTGCGAAGCTTTGGTAGAATTCACTGGTGAGGCCGTCTAATCCTGGACTTTTGTTTGGGGGAGAATTCTGATGGCCACTGGCTTGTGGTTCGTTTGTAGATTGAGCCATAAAAATTAAGAGTAAAATGGCAGCAAAAGACCACTACATATCAGTAATCATTTTACATATAAAGAGACTGAACTCACCAGTGAAAAGACAGAGTAGTTAGCTGGATCAGGAAGCAGGATCCAAGCTTTTCCTGTCTCCGGAGACACAAACACAGGCTCAAAGAAAAGGGCTGAAAAACACTCCTGCCAGCGAAGGGGCACATGCAGAAGCAGAGACAGCCCCTCAGGCCAGACAACACAGGTTTCTACTGTGAGAAGGAAACGAGACAGGAAGGGACACGATGTAATGACCAAGGGAGCGATACATCAAGAAGCCATAGCTCTCACACATGGAGGAACACCAAGATGCATAGTTAGCCATTAACTCCGGAAACGGGCTCTGGAAAAACACACTTGTGGTAGGAGACTTCAACATCTCACTCCCATCAGTGGACAGGTGGACTAGACCTAAAATAAGCAGGACTATGAGAGCCGTCCATGGAGAATTAGCCCACATGGACCTCAGAGACCTTTACAGGGTGCTGCACCCCCGACGTCAGAATACAAGTGTTGTTGGAACAGTCTCCAATAGACAGACCACATTCTAGGACGTTAACAAACAGCAGCAAAGGCACAAAAATTGAAATGACACCTACCATTTTCTTGGGCCAGAAAGGTGTCAAACTAGACATCAGCTATAAAAAGAAAGCAAGGAAATCCTTTAATACGTGGAGACTGAACGGCACCACTGAAAGACACTGGATTAATGAAGAAATCGAAGGGATTAAAAAATACCTTGAGCGAGGAGCCCTCCCTGCTGGTGCAGTGGGTTAAAGCACCATGCTGTGAAGCTCTCCGAAACCACCACAGCACGAGTTCAATCCCCAGCCAGGGAGCTGACCCACAGGGCGCGGCAGACCTCTCCTGGCCCGCTCGCTGCTCCCCTCAGCTGTGTGTTTCAGTAGATCGGCCTGTTCTGCTCCCCACCCTGTCTCTGGGGAATCCTCTCACCCCCCCCCCACACACACACACCTCTGGCCCGTACCCCAGTTCTGTGTGTATAAATAAAGAAATCTTTTTTAAAATACCTTGAGATAAATGATAACGAGCACACAGCTTTCCAAAGCACATGGTTGCAGCAGGAGCAGTATGAGAGGGAAATAGGTGGCGACGGAGGCCCTCATCAGGAGATAAAAAAGAGCTCAAGGCAACCTCTAGCAGTTAAAGTCACTAGGAAAAGAACATAAAATCCAAGACCCAATAAATAGAGCAGGAATAATCAAAATCAAAGCAGAAGTAAATTAAATGGAAATTTAAAGGCCAGCCCAAAGATACATGGAAGCAAAGCTGGTTCATTGAGAGAAGAGCAAACCTCTAGCAAGGCTCACGAAGGAAATATGGGAGAAACCTCAAATCGGCAGGATCAAAGGGGACAGGAGAAATGAAACAGATGCCGCGAAGCTCAGAGGATAGCTAGAGTCTTGGGAACATGTTTACACTGACCAAGGCAGTGATCTAAGAGAGGGCCGAATCCCTATCACATGCAGCTGAGGAGAGACGGGAGCCAGTCTGGCCTGCAGCCTCCGCCGCCTGGGACAGGACGGCTCTTGCCTCTCGCTTTCCCATCAAATTGGGAACCCGGGAAGCCAGTGAGTTTGCCACAGTCGGAGAGGGAAGACCCAGGTGAGGAGATTGAGGAGCAGGGCTGGGGTTTCTGCCCAGAGACCTCTGGTACTGTCTGGGAACATTTTGCGTTGTCACAGCTCAGGGCGTCTAGCACGAGGAGACCGGGGTGCTCCTGACTCTCGCTTCCAGGCTGAGAGGTCATGAGTAAAGAGGTCCTCTTTGGGGCTGCATGGAAACGTAAAGGAGAAGCAGCATGTTCCAAGACTTAGCGTAAATATATGGTGGCATGAAATCAAAAGGGGGAGCTGCTGGCGCAGGATGTCCTCGAGGCGCTCTGCAGAGCTCTGTGGACTCCACCGCACTCTGGCAACTGGAAACAACAACTCCCAGCAGCACCAGGGAGAGAACTGCGGGACCCAAGGGCGGAGCCAGCAGCATTCTGGGACTTTGGGGGGGTGTGTGTGTGTGTGTCTGTCTATCTATATAAATATATAGGGGCCATTTTCTCCGCTCTCTCTCAGGACCACGTGGCTGGTGGCTCTCGGTGTGTTACTGGAGCTCTAAGTCAGCCAGCGGGTAGCTAACTTGTATCTCTCTCTCCTTCTCTCTTTCCCTGGGTTGTTCCTTTCCCTTTCCCCTTTTGTAAATAAACCCATTAGTGACCCTTTTGTGTGCGCCTGCAGTACAACGAAATTTTAAGTGCGCAGTGAGGCCCACCGACAGGCGCCCAGCTCACACTGGGCCCTCTAACAGTAAGACCCACAGAATTAAAGGGATAAAAGGCGTGCATGTGGGGGACCCAGTGCTGGAGCAGAGCTGTGGGCGGCTTTCAGCAGGGGGAACCCATGTGCCTCTGTCTCTCCGCCTGCCAGGAGGCTTCATGGCCGTGGTCTTCATCGACGCCATATACAGCGGCATACTGCTCCTGGGCTCCATCTTGTTAACGGCCTTCGGTGAGTAAACCTCCGGGCGACGCCCCTGGGAGCCGCCCGGGCCATGTCAGCGCCTTCAGACATGAGGGTGTTGTCTGAGTCCGGCTGAAAGGGGAGGCGGGAGCTGCCCATTTAAGGAGAAAGAGGAGTGGGGGTGAGGGCCACTCCCAGGCTTCCCAACACAGGTGCCAGGGTGCCCGTGCGACCCCCCTCCGCCCATGTGCTTCCTGTCCAGTGACGCTGAGAGGGCCACAGGTGACCCTCCCAAAGGTGGAGGCCCGTGGTGTCCACCTGCTCTTCCCCGAACTCGCATCATTACTTCATAAATAGAGACTATAGAAGGTTTTTATATTTTTTAATTATTTTTTTATATTTATATATTTTAACATATAACTATATGACAAAATATGTAAGTATGATTTGTATTATTACATGGTTTTCAATTTTATATGTGTGTGGTATAAATATATGATTTGTAGTTTATTGTATTATGTATATTAGATTAGTCTCAATTGTTGTCAATTTTATATGCAATATATAACGTTACGTGCGTGTATTTGTGACTTGCTGGCTCATTATGTCACATAGATAAAGACCGAAACAGCTACTGCGTGTCTCCGGCCAAGTGTGGCTGGGGCGCGTGGTGGCCGCGCTCCTGCTGAGGGAGAACAGTGGCAGGTGTGGATTGCGCCTCAGGACGGCGAGGGCGCGTGTCTGCCCCGTGTCATTCAGTCCCCACCGGGACACAAGGACTGTTGGAACCCCCGTTTCACACGCGTGGAATCTGAGTCTCCGCAAGGGCCTTGCTCGGGAGCCGCCGCGGCACACGGCGAGCCCACGCTGAGATGAGCGCATGGCGGCGCCTGGCTCAGGCCAGGCGCGAGTGTTACCCGAAGGGGAAGAGCCCTTCCGTTGGCAGAGGTGTGACCTTGGGGTGGAGGCCACTGCTCTTCATGCTGAGGCTGGTCTGGTGGAACTCTAGAAAAGCCACTGGCCGAGGTATAAAAAAAATCGGAATGATGTGTGAGTGTCGGTTCCATGGGACGTGCTGAATCCCAGGGAATGAGAACACATAATCGAGCAGGACCACGCAATCCTCGGTCTTAACCACTCGCAGAGCATTAGTCCACCCAGGCCATGCTCAATGCTGTGCCGCTGAGGCTCAAGGCCCATGCCGAGTATGACCCAAGGACCTTTAACTAAGTGGGAGTCAATGACTAATTTGAGTGACAGAATCATAGACTACAGAAACAGTCAACAATTGTGTTGGAATCGGGGTCAGTGTCACACATCAGTATTTCAGACCTGTCAAGCCCACAGTAGCCAAGAATGGCATCCCCGGACTCTTCGGGGGCAGGTGAAGCATTCTTCCGTTGCGTGGGCAGTGTGGGCTGCTAGTGTCCAGGAGAGGCCCTAGTTTCACCCAGAGGCACGAGATCCTCTCGGACAGCCCGAAACATCCAGGCAGACACTGACGATGGACGGGTCTTTCCCAACAAACTGTTGGAGAGGATTCAAGTCAGTGTGGACACGCTGTCCATGCAGCAACTCTGGAGCTGGTTTATGATGAAATGTATTTCCCGTATCTCCTGGATCACTTATCTAAGTTTCATTGGAAATCTCCTAACTAGAGGTTACAAAGATGATCCCCATGTCACTGCATTTTTTTTAAAAGGTTTTATTTATGTGCATACAGAACTGGGGGACAAGCCAGAGGTGCAGGGGCAGTGAGAGGAGTCACCAGAGACAGTGGGGAGCAGAACAGGCAGACTGACGAAGCACACTGCTGAGGGGAGCGGCGGGGAGACAGGACAGGAGGGGTCTGCTGCGCCCTGGGGGTCCCTCCCCGGCCGGGGATCCAACCCGCGATGAAGCGGCTGCGGCCAGCTCACGGTGCTGCGTCCTGACCCGCTGGCCACCAGGGAGGGCCTGTCGCTGCATTTTTGACAGGCTCCTTTCACCATTTGCCTTACCCGTACTTAATCCGTACTTAATTGAGACCTGGGTCAATTTTATCTTGATTTCAATCATACAAATTTTAAACACTGAGGTTCAATTTATCCACCTTCCTTTTCCCTTCTTTATCTAATTTAAGAGTGCGTTACCTGGCCCAACTGCTAACCCCCCATTTTCTTCTAATAACTTCAGTTTCTCCCCTCGTCTTTCCAGCCCACATGGAGTTCATTCTTAGAAGTGCCACGAGTGCTTATTCATCTCACTGTCAACTCAGTATCTGTTCACTGACTACTCTGAACTCCAGATGATTCTGATCTATTTCAAAATCAAATTATACCAAAGGAATATGGTTTCCTGTGCCAACATGAAGGGGCTTTTTTTTTTTTCCAGTTACGTAGGTGGAATTATGGGTGTTTTAATGCCTCTTAATGTATGTTCACTTTCATATGAAGACTTCCTACTACCTGGTATGTTGGTGGAGAATATCACACCATAAAGTCTAAAGGAAATTTCAAATAGGAAGTTTTATAAGTTTTGCTGGCATTGCAAAAATAAAAATATATGTATTCATTTCTCTTTTAGTCAGAATGTGTTAGATAACTTGTGATGAAGCTTTAGTTCACAATTCGTATAAGCATGAGTACTTTCATAGGCTAAAGGTTTCCGGAGCCCTTCACCCAGTGGGGCGGATTCGGGACTCCGAGTGAAGCGGGTGGACAGAAGAGCTTCCCGCTCCTGCAGCAGTTTGGAATGCCAGAGGAAGGAAGCAGGGTTTTTGTGGTTCCTCAGGCAGAATCCTAGAACCCGTTCTCGTTAGCCCAACTTGGCCCTCCTGACACACCAGCTGGTGCCCAGGGGTGCTGCCCACTGGCCACACTTGGGTCGCACACAGGACCAGGATCGCAGGCGTTTGGCCCAGGCTGAGCTGCGCTACACGGGGGTGAAGACAGCTGGGGAGGACCCTGTTCTCCAAAGCGAGCCCCACAACCGCCAGCATCCAGCATCCGCCGGACGCCTCTCTGAAAGAGATGCTGTTCTTTCGGAAGCGCGTGACTCTGACTTGAATCTGCCCTCTTTATATTTCCAACCGTCAGTCCAGCTGGGCATTTCTCTGCGCGCTTGGGTCTTCAGACACTCGCTGTTGTACACCCAAGGTACTGATAAATATGATGTTGTTTTTAAGCCTTTGAGGACGTGGGTGGATATCAAGAGCTTCGGGATAAGTACATCATCTCCAAGCCCACCAACGTCAGCCAGGGCAACTGGACGGCCAACTCAAAGTGCTACATGCCCCGCAGAGATTCATACCACGTCTTCCGCGATCCCCTAACTGGAGACATCCCCTGGCCTGGGCTCTTCTTTGGCGTCTCCATCCTAAACCTGTACCGCTGGTGCGCCAGTCAGGTAATCAGACCCCCTGCCGGAAGCGGCTGTCGGTGGGCGGGGTGTCCTCGGGCCGGCCAGATCCACGGCTGCAGGCTGCAGGTGACGGTGCCTGCTGCCGCATTTACTTGCTGCCTAAATCAGTTTGCAAGAAATTATATATATATATATATATATATATATATATATATATATATATATAAGATGTGTTTATTTGTGTACAGTATACAGAACTGGGGTACAGATAGAGGTGTGGGGGTGAGATGATTCCCAGAGACAGAGTGGGGAACAGAACAGGCAGATCGATGAAGTACACTGCTGAGGGGAGCAGCGAGCGGGCCAGGAGAGGTCTGCCGCGCCATGTGGGTCAGTCCCTGACGGGGGATAGAACTCGTGCTGAAGCGGCCACAGCTTCGTAGTACTGCGCTTTAACCCGTTGTGCCACCAGGGAGGGCCCAAGAAATTATATTTAAAATAAATTTCTCCCACAGCCCCATCTATAGCACATTAACTATTTCATGTGTTATCTTCCCTATAATTAAAGGCCTAGATTTTTTCGGAAATGAAAAATATGCCCGTTCTCTCCAACTATGTATAAATTCAGTGCAATAGTCAGTAGGTAAGTTGAATTTTTTAAGGATTCAAATGTATTCTAAAAATTACATGCTTTTAATGAAGGGTAGGTCATTAAATACATTGTAAAATCGTTATCCAATGAAACGGTAACATAAAATGACGAGATAAAAAATAAAGACAAGCAAAGGTAGCACAGAAATGAACAGCAAGCGCCGCGCCCACAGCGGCATGGGCCGTCCTCAAGGCGGAGGCCAGGTAAGAGCCACCCCGCAGGCGAGGTGCTGCGTGATGGCTTTTGCATAAAGCTTGATAGCAGGCACGGCCCAGTAAGTCGTTCAGGAGTACACAACTCCGTGGTAAAAATCATGAAGAGAAGCAACGGAGAAATCGGAGTGTCACAGAAGAGTGTCACAGAAGCAGGAGTAAGGGGAGGCGGACGTTTAGAAGGCGCATATAGACAGCAGTCGTGGCCACCAAGGTGGAGGCAGCCCAAATGTCCCCGGTGCGCGCGAGCAAACACGGTGTGTAGCCAGCCACACTGCGTAATATCCTTTAGCCGTGAAAAGAAAGCAGGTGTGGACACAGGCTACGACTTGGATGGATCTCAGAAACACTGTGCTCACTGAAAAGAAGCCAGACAGAAAAGGTCACCTGCTTTCTGATTCCTCTCTATAAAATATCCAGATTAGACTGGATCTGCCGGGTTTAGCAGGGGCGGGGCCGGGGGGTGGGTGTTCTGGGGTGGTGGGAAAGTTTGGAAACCAGAGATAGTGCTTGCACAACTTTGGGGACGCACTAAATGCTTCTGCATTGTTCTCTGTGAAGTGGCTAATTCTATGGTTTGTGAATTTCACCTCAATTTGAAAAATAAGTAGGCGACTTCTGGGATGCCTCCAGGCTTCAGCTCTTGCTTTGGACGGTGCGGACCCAGAAGGCTCTGGATGGTGCCTCTCCTCTGTGCTCCTGTAATGGACTTCTCTGAGTTACCAGTAAAGGAGACAGAGCCATTCTGTGGAATAAGAAAACACCAACATAGGTAACCCAAGTTTGAAAGTGGAGAGCAAAGGGGGAGAACTCGTCCTACCAGATGTTTACACATAAAGCCCAGAAAATTGCGGTCATAAAGGAGTTTGAAATTTCCAAGAATGGACCTACAGGCCAATGGAACAGAATAGAGAGCTCAGGGTGACTCCTGTGCTCATAAAAATCTAACCTGGATTCAGGGAGTCTCCACAAACCAACAGGGCTGGCACAGCTCTCTGGTGTTAGAAAAACCACCTTACTGTTCGGAACAACAGCACTTCACACTAGCTAACACTGCGCCTAGGCGGACATTAGGTCGTTAAAGACTGAACTATGAAAAGTGAAACTACTATTAGAGGGTGGAGACGCCCAGAGCTCTTTTGCGAAGGGGAGGTGCCTGGAGCAGGTGCACGGCACATGCGCAGACTCTGTTAACCAAGATGCCAGACAGCCTGGCCTGTCTGTGATGAACAAGCAACAACAAACAGCAACATGCAAAGGAGAGAAGAAAATGACAGGCAGTGTATAGAAAAGGAAGCGAAACAAACATAAATACCAGCAAGAAGACTTATCAGGGACATGCAGTTCACAACCACAATGAGACCACAATGAGAAAGCCGGATAACGCCAAGCACAGGAGATGGGGGCATTTGGGAGCCCTACACACCCCTTGCGGAAGTATAGATCGTGAAGGGTCCCCTTGCGGCATGTGATAAAATTAAGCATCCGTATACTGTACACTCTGATCTAGAAATGTTGCTCAGAATCTGCAAACACAGATGGTCATCGAATTCCTCAGGGCCTGCTCTGAGGGCGCCGTGGGCCAGTCTTCCCACAGGGCTGGGTCCCGTAGACGGGCCGCTGAGAGGTGGGGAGTTGAACCTGCCGGTGCAGCAGGTTGACTAGACGTGCGCAGACCAACTACAACGACTCTTTCAGATGTGTCGAGTGGAAGAACAGGAAGGGGAGATCTAGCACAACGCAGGAGCTTTCTCTGTGGCATAGCTGTTAATCTGTTTAGCTTCTATTATGTGATTAATTATGCGACTTTACCTAGGAGGAAAGGAATTGTTTCTTGTATTTTTCTTTTCAATTTCATCTGTAATAATAACTTTTAAGAGTTTACCTGGACTTCCACACCTGACAATAGGTAAGCTGGATTTCCTGAACTCTCTGCCAATCAACACAGAACCTAGGAGCTTTGGGGAACTATAACAGGCATCTTATTGTAGTCATAGAGGGACTCGTAAGAAAGGAAGAAGTCTCCAGGAGCCAAAAACAAAGAGAGGATTGAAATCAAGTGCGCTAAATTGACATTAACACGGACTGTCCCTGACGGTGTTTACCACGCTCAGTTTTCAGAGACTTGGGTGTAGTTGGGGACTACACCCGCGAAAAGAAAGCAAAGACTGTTAAAAAAAAAATGGAAGAAAGAAAAATGAACAATGATGTAAAATAAGAAAAAAAACAAATAAATGACTATGTGAGAACAGGGAAAAGGTCTTGAGTTCCTGAGTGGTCAAGGATGAGCCCCCATGTAGAACTCGGGCTTTCCAAAGTCTGTAACGACATCAGAACGGTAGCGTGGGGGAAAGCTACCGTCAGCCAAGAAACAACACAAAGAAAGTGCCTCAGCTGGGTTCCAGAAGGCAGGAGAACGCCCCTGAGATGTCAGCGCATTGGCCTGCCTTCCTGTACAGTGGGGCCTTCTGTTTCTCTCTCCGGTCAGGAAAGCCCGTAGTAACTCATCCCGAAGTTGGTGCGTGCTGGCCTGGCAGGCTCGTGGCAGGTTCTCTCGGCTGGTGCTCCTGCAGCCTGGCCGCAAGTAAATTCCACTCAGCGGGAGCTCCAGCCCCAAATTAGAAAACGTGTAAGAACCCCGCCGCCGGGCGCGAGACACAGCAGCAGCACGCGCCACCTTCAGAGAAGGCGGCTCGGGGGCTCAGTAAGTGTCTCAGGAAACAGAAGCGGACCTGAAACACCAACAAAACTCTTATCAACGCAAGATGGTCAGGATGAAAGTGCACACTTTGAGGAACGAAATACCTACTTTTTGAAGTGGAAAACTCAGTAGCTTTGAAATAGACAGAGCACGGTTGGCGAGGGGGAGCTCGGTTGGCGAGGGGGAGGGCAACACCGACACCACTCCAGAGGGGGCAACTCACGGGGGCCTCGGTGGTGGGGCCTCTGATGGGCGGCGCCTGGGCCGAGAAATCAGACACCGCGGGAAGGAGTCACGACGTAAAGGTACATGCAAGTCAAAAATAGCCATGGATGAGGAGGGAAAATTAGTATTCTTGGGAGACTGCTGAAACGATGCGAAAGGCGTGGAAATGGTGGACGTGGGATAGTTGAAGGGAGACTAAAGAGACAGAAAAGAGCAGCTCCAGAAGGAAAGGGGGCAAAGCAGCCCTTGACGGAAGCCACAGGCGACGGTGCCTGTGACTGCTGAAAGAACGAGCGTCCGGGTTCCGGAGTCTGAGCGAGTCCCGAGCAGGACTGATGTAGACACTAATCATCGTGCAAGTTCAGAGCACTGACGAGAAGACCGTCTTACAAGTCACCTGAGAGCAAAGGTCGCTTGTCCGAGGAGACGGTGATGCCCAAAACGGACCCCTCGGCGGCCGCGGTGTCACCCGGTGGGGGCAGAATAGAATTTCCGAAGTGCTGAGGTAAACCCGCAGGGCGGGGCTCCCCTCCTGTCTCCCCGCGGCCCCCTCAGCAGTGTGCTTCCGTCCATCTGCCTGTGCTGCTCCCCGCTCTGTGTCTGGGGAGTCCTCACCCCGCACCTCTGGCCTGCACCCCAGTTCTTGTGTGCATAAGTGAATACATGTTTTAAAAAAAGAAAGAGTCCCGGGGTAAATGCCAACTTGCGGCTGCATGCCTAGATGAGCTTGCCATTCAGAACAAGGCCAGAGAAAGTCATGAACTTCCTGAAAGGCGCAAATGGGGAGAAAGGAAGCACCAACATGTGACAAGATACAGGCAGATGCTCGAGGAAATGCCAAGCGTCGGCTGGCTAAAAACCAATAGTCATGACAACGGGAAGTCAAAAACAGAAGAGAACTGGAGTAGCCGGCCCTTGGCAGCGTGCCCGCAGACCCCACCTTCAGGCAGACCGCGGGGCGGGCTACCTGCGGCTAAGTCCACGTCCACATTTGGGGGGTAATTACTAAAGCGCAGGGGCAGAGTTGCACCTACCTAGCTAGCACAGGAGGAGATTCAAGAAAAACAATTCTCAAAAGGCGAGTCGGCCAACCGCAGGAGTAGGCTAAGCCCCGGCCGCCGTCACGCTGAAGCCAGAGTCCTCGCCGCGTGCAGACACGGCAGTTTCCGGCTGGTCGCGCCGTGTCCGGTGGCACCTTCCTGCAGAGGCACGCCCAGGCGCTTGCCGGCCGTCTGTGCCCAGGCGGGGGAGAGACCCGGCGTGCGGCCTGACTCCCGCACCTCTGGCCTCTGGGAGGCCAGCGGCAGGGTGGGCAGGAGGCCCCGAGGCGCCCACCCTGCTGTGTGTGCCCGCTCGGCGCGAGTCTGATCCCGGCCAGGGGTCCCCAGCGCGCAGCACACCCTTCCTGTCCCCCGCTGCTCCCCCCGGCATTGTGTTTCTGCTCCCCGCTCTGTCTCTGGGGAGTCCTCTCACCCCCTGCACCTCTGGCCCGTACCCCAGTTCTGTGTGCATAAACAAATACATCTTTAAAACAAAGACAGCGGGAGTGGGAGCGCCGCCCGCTGACCGGCCCAGCATGGACCACCGTGCTGCGCTGCCCCTCTCCGGAGGGGGTCCGTGGGTCCACCATGTTGGGCCTCCACCATGCTGCACTGTTCTGCTGCCCTGGACCAGGTCTTCCTGCTCCCGAGAGCGAGTCTGAGCAGCTGTGTCCGTCCGCCCGGCCGTGCAGCCTGCTCTGGGCGCGCAGCAGGGCGAAATGGGGCGGGAAGCACCCCCTGGGGGGTTCCTGCCTGCCAAGGGTCCGCGGGAATCGCGGTGAATGCTGCCGTCCCTGTGCGAGCGCCTTCATCCCCCACCTCGGCGGTGGTGTCGCCCAGGCGCTCTCAGCCTGCCCTGCCGCGGCGGGGGTCCGGGGCCTCCGGGAGGGGTCTGGCGTGGCCCAGGGCCGGCGTGCAGCGCTGGCCAGCAGCCAGTCGCCCGTGACTCCCCAGCCCCCGGGCGGCTGCTCGCGGGTCACGCCCGCGTCCCCTGACCCCGGATACCCCCGCGGGCCGCCCGCCGCCGCAGCAGGTCACGGCTGTCCTCTAGGGCACCTTGCGTGTTTCCCGGGCAGATTTCTGTGCAGCGATGCCTGGCGGGGAAGAGCATATATCACGTGAAGTCCGGCTGCGTCTTCTGTGGCTACCTGAGTCTGCTGCCCATGTTCATCTTCGTGATGCCAGGAATGATCAGCCGCATCTTGTACCCAGGTAGAGCCCCGCCCTTGGGCACCCAGGCCTCTCCTCTCTGGGCGACCTGGGGACGTGCAGGTACCCCACAAATGTTGGAATGGAGGTGAGGGCCGCAGTCCGGAGAGGGAAGCCGAGGCAGGAGGAGCCAGCCAAGGTTCCTCCGCCTGGCCCAGCCCGCGAGGAGTGCAGGTGCCCTCCAAAGGGTCCCACCCGCTGCGGCTTCGGGGAGCAGCCGAGGCACCTGGGGGGGGTGGCTCAGGCAGCCTGCTAGGCCCCTGTTTTCCCACTAACTGCTGTGGGGACCCCTGCGGGGACCCTGTTTCCCTAACGCGCTGTCACTGCTCGGAGCATCTCCTCCGACCGAACTGCTTCTCCGGGCGGCGTCTCTCCCAGCGAGCGCAGGTCTGCTTGCCGGGAGGCCTCGGGCGCTTGCTCGTCCCTGCAGGCCCGGGCGCAGCAGGGCGCTGCGGGCTCTGGCCAGGCCGAGCCAAGGCTTTTTGTCTGGGAGGCGCGAGGCGCCCCTTCCTCCCCGGGGCCAGGGCTGGGTCTGCTGTCACCCTACTTCCTCTGCCGTTTCAGAAAGGAGGCTCCTTGTTAGATGTCGGTGTAGCCAGAGTTGGTCTTTGGTACCCACTGGCATTTTGGGGGGTCTCAGAGCTGATGTTTCCTGATAGGTCAGAAAACAGACCCCTGCACTCTCCACAACCCAAGCTCCCTGGGCTTGCAGCCCTGCCCTGCCCTGCCCTGCCCACACCC